CTTTGGTGGTTAGGGAAAGTTAAGATAGAAATAGAGGCAGAGGCAAGGCTGAAGAACAATCGCGAGCACATGTGATATTACAGAAAATGTAGTGAAGCACACATCTTATAATGAAATCAAGATAGGAACTTATAACAAGCCCTCATTAGAGTACAATGTCCAAAAACACAAGATGAACACCACACCACACCCCATTCAACACAAATAATTGCTCTTCAGTGTTGTAAATTTAAAAAAAGATGAGATATTGCTTAGTACAATCAAATAGTTCTTCATTCCTCGTCGCCCAAATCATTGAAGGCATCGCACAAATCATTGAGCATTTCATCCCACGTCTCCTCCACATGCACATGAAATGAGTATCCATCAACAAGAAGAACAAAATTGTCCATACCACGAAGAAATTCAGGAAATTCAGAACCCTCTCGCACATAAATTTACTAATATGAGACACAAGCTTTGATATTTCATCGTCATTCTCATCGAAACCAGAACAATCTCTAACGTCCAACATCACCAAATCTTTGCATTCGGGCAGCAACGTGACAAAGACCATCCCAATTAACTTTTGCACCCTTCAAATTTAAGTACTTGATATTAGGCACCAACCTCACAATTGACAATATGCCTCACGCCCATGAACAGTGCCTTTGGACAAATCTAAGTCTGAGTGTTCTCATCAGCCCCAGAAAAACAACAATCCATTAACTCAATAAACCTAAAAAATCATAAAATAAAATAAAAATTAGCCAATCTAAAAATTAGTCACAAAAAGAAACATGAATTAGTAACTGTTAATTAAAAGGTTCCTCTTAACCTTTGGTCTTCACTCAATTTCCAAATAACACAATAATCCTAGCCTTTCAAACCCACAAGGGGCCTAAGCCTCTCAGTCAGATTTTGCATAATGATGGCATATCTACAGGTAATTTATTCAATAATGGATATTTCTTTAAAGAACATCTATCGAATCTCGTAATATGCATAGATATAATAATATTCCAAAAGCCACAAGAGACCTCAATTTCTGAAATTCTTGTTACAATAATTCCTCAAAAAGCTCCTTCACCCAGCCAGTCATGGCCGAAACCAAAAGTTCCAGCCATCTGTATAAACAGAAACCAAAAGGCATAAAAGTAAGACAATTTGTAACAGTTATAAGTGAAAACAATAACCGATTACAGCTAGCCAACATGCTAATCTAATGATTCCAAAGTAAAAAGTAGAATCCAACCACTTAATTAAACTACCCACGTGAAAAACAAGAAGAAAAACAGATTCAGATCAAACACTTTCCTCAAATTACACCAACCAGTAGTGACACAAAAAAACAACAGATTATAATGCAACTGCAAGCCCATTCCCAGATCTTTAATATTGACTGATATGAAATCCACAATAATTGAGTCAAAATGGTACTCCTTAACGATATAGCATGAAAATTAGAAAATACTATCAAGTAAATGAGCCAAGTTTCGACCCCGCATTCATAACATTGTAGCAAATTCACAATCAGACCATTCAAACCAACAGGAAGAGAAACTAAAAAGAAAATAATTCCAATTATGGTAGCAAAACTCACAAGACAGAAAATAATCCCCAAGTTACCGATCCTCTAGGCAATCATGTAGCTAACCAATTCAAATTGCTATGCCAAACCCACATCTAATACTAACAAAGCTGCTTCTGCTTTCCATTTCGTAACAAAAATAAAAATAACCAAATCAACTTAAATGTCTAAGTATCACCCAACAGAAGAATTCAGCAATCAATGCCCGAATGCACCACAAACGTGCATAACACAACTATTGGATTAGTATAAGGTGATTTTAACTAAACTACAAATGAATGGTGTTATCATACTCCAACAGATACTGCTTGAATGCATCTGGATTTCCAGTTTCTATTAAATCCATTCCCATTCCTGTCCAAAGCCTCAATAGTTTGTGTAGAGCCCAATATTTATCACAAAGCTCCAATCTTAACAACTCGACTACTTGTTCAGAGCTATCGACAATTTGAGAAATTTCAAACGAATGCACTCCAAGACCACAGCTTAAAGAATGCACAGAAAAAAAAGGGTGAATTGTTAGGAAGAACTAACCTTTACGTTGTTGATAAACGTGAGTCGCTAAAACCCCAGCTTGATGTGTTCTGCAGAAATGCCAGACCCGCCAGGAAAAAGAAAACTGAAAGAAGAAAAAAAACACCATTGAAGTTTTCCAAAAATCAGCCGCCTAGGCGGGCTAGGCGGGCCTTTTTTATTTCGGCTATACTCTACACTCTTGAATTAACATATTTGAAGGGTATGGCCGAGCGGCTATACTGTCCAAATATATTATTTAAACAGTATAGCCGAGCGGCTATCCCAAATACATTATTTAAACAGTATAGCCGAGCGGCTATCCCAAATACATTATTTAAACAGTATAGCCGAGCGGCTATCCCAAATACATTATTTAAACAGTATAGCCGAGCGGCTATCCCAAATACATTATTTAAACAGTATAGCCGAGCGGCTATCCCAAATACATTATTTAAACAGTATAGCCGAGCGGCTATCCCAAATACATTATTTAAACAGTATAGCCGAGCGGCTATCCCAAATACATTATTTAAACAGTATAGCCGAGCGGCTATCCCAAATACATTATTTAAACAGTATAGCCGAGCGGCTATCCCAAATACATTATTTAAACAGTATAGCCGAGCGGCTATCCCAAATACATTATTTAAACAGTATAGCCGAGCGGCTATCCCAAATACATTATTTAAACAGTATAGCCGAGCGGCTATCCCAAATACATTATTTAAACAGTATAGCCGAGCGGCTATCCCAAATACATTATTTAAACGTACATTCAAGTTTGCCCACTCCCAAGCTATTCCAAATATGATTCATTTCGCCCACTCCCAAGCTCATTCACGTTTGTTTAAATTAACCCAAATATTATTAAGCAAATCCTGAACTGAAACAACGTGTTCGTATACTTGAACAAGTGCTAGCAGTGCACTAACCCGAGAGAAGACGAAATCCATTCCCGAAGGGTTTGAACATTCAACATAGTTTCAGCTGTTGTAAAGGTCTTCAAAACTACCACAACTGCAAATATCAAAATAATATGAATGAACGATAAGAAACCCCACATAGAGCTTAGATTACAAGAGTCAATATTTAGTGATATAAATAAACTAAATGCTGACCGAGGGTAGTTTCTGGGTTTAACCCTGCAATATTTCTGGCAACATCAATAGGATCAACGTTTGCAAGACTGCACACAGAGGAAAACAAATTAATAGAATACCCTTATACCCGAATCATCCATCCTCTGACAATAAATAATAAATTATATATGCTACAAATATTTTTCAGAAACGGAATACTGCCACTCTTTATGGGCCATGCTCTCCAACAAACATTCGGTTAATCTTTTCTTTGAGGGATGCAGCCTGCATATTGTGGCATAGAAAACATTAATTAAACAACACTATATTCACCCAATCCCTTCCCCCCACAAGACACTAGTTTCTGGGTTTAACCTTTGCCAATTTCCAAGGTTTCAGGCTTAAAACGTTGCTGATTTTCAGAGATGCCTTTACGTTGTTGATAAACATGAGTCGCTAAAACCCTAGCTTGATGTATTTGCAGAGATGCCAGACCAGACAGGAAAAAAGAAATCTGAAGAAAATAAACGCCATTCAAGTTTTCCAAAAATGGGCCGCCTAGTCGGGTATAGCCGCATGGCTATACTCTTGAAATAATATATTCAAAACGTATGGCCGCGCGGCTGTACCCGTTAAATAATATAGTTACAAAGTGAGAACATCATTTTTCCTCTCAACCTGATTTGATGTCTCCAATATGTCACTATGAAATAGAAATAACAATTGCTACTCGACGATGATCTATTTCCAGATTAGAAAGCAAAATTTCCTTGAGGCCATTGACAAGTGAGAACATCATTTTTTTTTTAAGCTTCTTACAATCTATACATAAACAATCTCTATAAAAAAATACCATGTTCTGCATGTTTTTGGTTCATTCTTGATAGCAATTGTCGTGCCAAGGCATTAGATAAACTCATGAAGGATCTCAAAGTTTTTGCCAAAGGTAATGAGGAGCTGTTCAAAGAAATGCATCACATGTGTATGGGTTCAATCCAACGGGGATCGTAAGGCACTCTCAGGCAAATAATTGAGGCAAATCCAGTTTTCCGTGGCAAACTGAAGTATCCTAGCATCAAAAGTCATAGATTACATAAACTCATTAACCAAAGGTAATGCTTCCTCTCTAGTTTTGGTCTTCCTTTCTATTTTGTAATTGCATATGTTCATACATATGCCTGTGCGCGTTTGTGTGTGAGAGAGAGTACTTGTTATTCTCATATTTAGTAAAAGATTTAGTCACTTTCTATTTTTTGTAATGGGGAGAGACACTGACTTGTGTGTTTAACTTGACAGCTTGAATTGGCAGCATTAACAGTGTAAAGACCCTCGTCCAAATCCAGTCATTAAGACTCTTTTCGTTGATCATGTTTGGGAACCACAGGAAAATGTTCCTTTTCCTCTGCCAATTGAAAACAATTTGGAAGTAAGATATGTTCTGGTGACATAAATTTATTTTTGTCAAGTATTTGTCCTCATTAACCAATGACCAGCTCGGTGTCTACACTTACTGATTTTTGTCCAAATCCAGTTATTAAAACCCTTTTCATTGATCATGTTTGTGAATTGTCTTTGTCTCTCTCGACTGGGAACATTTTGCAACTACGATATGTTCTGGTAAACTGAAATTCGTTTCGTATTGGTCCTCATTAACCAATGTTTCCTGCTCATCAGCCACACTAGCTGATTTTCTTTTTCTTTTTTAAACAAGATTTTTTTTAGTCTTTCAGGTTTTTTCTAAGATTGCTCTAACCTTATGTATTTAGCCTTAACAAGCAACATCAAATCCACTTCCAACTTCTTCTGTTGAGCCAAAAATTTATCTGTAACACAAGATGCGCTCTCTCCGGGAGCAGTATCTCTCAATTGCAGCAAAGAGCCCAGGTATTTTATTTTAGTTCTTCAAGTGATGTTGTTGGGTACTGGTACACTCTAATTTATGTAAAATCTAATCAAATACATGCTGCTAGGTGCCTGTTTGACCAGATGATGGAGAGGAACTTGATTTCATGGATGACGATGATTTCAGGTTATGTTCAAGGAGGTTACTATTATGAAAGTCTGGAGTTATTCAGGCAAATGAGAAAAACATATTTGAGCCTTGATGAGGTTCTTTTGGTCACAGTACTTTCAGCATGTGCTCATGGGGGAGATTGCAAGTTAGGCAGATCCATTCAACGTCTGATTTTCAAAATATGGAATGAATGTTGAAGGGTTTCTTTGGAATGCTCTGATAGACTTGTATGCCAAATGTGAAAAACTGGCTGAGGCTCGCTTAGTTTTTGAGCAGTTGCCTTGCAAGAGAGTTGTGTCTTGGAATTCGATGTTGGATGGGTTCTGCAGAAGTGGAGATATTAAGAAGGCTAGACTCTTCTTCAATGAGATTCCTGAGAAGGATGTGATTTCTTGGAACACCATGATCAACTGTTATTCCATATCTCATTGATTCAAAGAAGTATTTGAGTTATTTCATGCGATGCGGAGTTCAAATGTTTAGCCGGACAAGATCACACTAGCCAGTGTTCTGTCTTCCTGTGCTAGTGTTGCAGCCCTGAATCATGGCATTTGGGTGCATGTTTACATAAAAAAGAATCATATTGAGTTGGATATTATGTTGGGAACTGCTTTGATTGACATGTACGGAAAGTGTGGAAGCATTGAAGAAGCCTATGAGATATTCTCAGATATGACTGAAAAAAATGAGTTTGTGTGGACTGCTATGATAGCAGCACATGCCATGGAAGGGCAAGTCCAGAAAGCTATTGATCTCTACTCAGAAAAGGAAGCTCTAGCAATAAAGCCGGATCATGTCACTTTCGCAGCTCTTCTATCTGCTTGTAGCCATGGAGGCTTAGTCAATGAAGGGTACACATACTTCAACAAGATGACTAGTGTCTACAGTATTGTTCCTAAGATCCAAAATTATGGGTGTATGGTTGATCTCCAAGGTCGGGCCGGATGCTTAGACTAGGCGGTGAAGTTTATGCCAAAGATAGTGTAATGAGAGTGTAATAAGAGAGGTTTTGCAGCCTTTCAATTCATTTATTCTTTCATTACTAATCTGGGAACATATATACAAGTATAGATATAACTATTCGTTAGTTACAATACAAACAAAATCACAAAACATGGAAGTGTGTTTCCAGCTCTTTGTGTTTCCCTAAAACATGGAAATGGGTTTCTAGGTGGCAAACATGCTTTTCCAGTATTTGTGCCAAGCTGTCCAATACTCCCCCTCAAATCATTGACTAACACTCCCTCTCAAGTTGGTGCAAAGATATCACGCATGCCCAACTTGTCAAGTGAGCCATAAAAAACTTTACTTGATACAGCCTTCGTCAGAATGTCAACAAGTTGGTTTTCGGAGTTTACGAACGGAAACTTAATTATACCACTTTCTAGTTTCTCTTTGATGAAATGTCAGTTGACTTCCACATGTTTGGTACGGTTGTGTTGTACTGGATTATGTGCTATCTCGATAGCAGCTTTATTATCATAGTACATGTTTGTAGCTTTCAATGGTTTAGTTCCAAGATCCTTCAGTAATCTCCGTAACCAAAGCAATTCACACACTCCTTGAGCCATTCCCCTAAACTCTGCTTCAGCACTTGATCTAGACACAACTCTTTGCTTCTTACTCATCCAAGTGACTAAGTTGCCACGCACAAATGTAAAATATCCAGAAGTAGAACGTCTATCTGTGATGGATCCTACCCAATCAGCATCTGTGTATCCTTTTATGTCCATGTGTGTATGTTTGGAGAACATCAACCCTTTTGCAGGGGCAGTCTTCAAGTATCTTATAATCCGTGATACTCCATTCATGTGTGCCTCACTTGGTTGATGCATAAACTGACTTACCATACTCACAGCATAAGCTATGTCGGGGCATGTGTGTGACAGATAGATCAGTCGCCCAACTAATCTTTGATACCTTTCTTTACCAGTAGGTACTTGATCTGGATACATCCCTAACTTGTGGTTCTACTCAATAGGTGTGTCAGCTGGCTTGCAATCTAGCATTCCAGTTTCTGTTAACAAATCTAACACATATTTTCGTTGGGGGTAGAAATATGCCATGTTTTGATCTAGCAACTTCTATGCCAAGAAAATATTGTAACTCACCTAATTCCTTCATCTCAAATTCACTAGCAAGGAGCTTCTTCATTTCTTCATTGTCATTACAGGTAACCACCATATCATCAACATAGATGATAAGGGCCATAAGTTTGTCGCCACGACGCTTTAAGAATAATGTATGATCCAAGTTGCTCTGAGTGTACCCGAAGGGCTTCATGGAATCAGTGAATCTTCCAAACTAGGCTCATGATGACTGCTTTAGCCCATATAATGATTTTCTCAGCTTGCATACTGTGTTGGGACCATATATCATAGAGATCCCTAGTGGTGGATCCATATACACTTCTTCTTGCAAGTCCCCGTGAAGAAATGCATTCTTTACATCATACTGCAGTAGTGGCCAGTCAAGATTTGCAACCAATGACATGAGAACACATACAGTGTTGATCTTGGCAACAGGTGCAAATGTCTCCTGGTAGTCAATTCCATATGTTTGTGTATACCCTTTGGCCACTAATCGAGCTTTGTATCGGTCTATGGATCCATCAGCTTTGTATTTAACGGTGTATATCCACCGACATCCAACTGATTTCTTCCCTTGTGGTAAAGGAACCATTTCCCCTGTAGAATTCTTTTTCAGAGCTTCCATTTCAATTGTCATTGCTTCAGCCCATCTGGAATCTGTTACAGCATCCTGCCACTTATTTGGAACACATATAGTAGATAATTGATTGACAAAGGATGCATACGACTTTGACAATCTATGAGTTGACACATGGTTATTAATGGGATATTTTGATTTGACAGTAAGGTCAGGAAAATATTGAGGTTTAGGTTTTCCTCTAGTGGTCCTAGGTGGGAGAGTATATGGTGCAATATTAGGTGGTTCGGAAAATACCTCGAGTGTTTCTTCATCACTAGACGATTGGTCCAATGGTACGGCATGAGGAGTTGTATTTTGTAGTTGATCATTGTAGACATTTGGATTGTCTCCTCCGGGGTCTTCACTGAATAAGAACGAAATTTCTTCAGTACATTCATCGCTGTCCAAAAAAACACCCTCGAGGTCAGTGGAGCAAAGCGACTGGTCACTAGGTTCTAGACGACCGGTCGTTTTTGGACAGCTTGGATTTTCAACATCGCTGGAGCAAGGCGACTGGTCGTTGGGTTCAAGGCGACATGTCATTTTTTGGCAGATTGTTTCGCGACCGGTCGTTTCTGGCTGCCGACCAATCGCTTCAGGGCAGTCTTGAATTTTTTCTTCCTTCTCTTCACTCCTCCTCTCCCTCTGAAGAGAAGGGGGCGTGGAAGCTTCAAAGTAGGATTAATCTTCTTGAAATGTGTCATCCATAGTGACAAAGAGCTTGTGAGTAGGAGGATGGTAACACTTGTATCCTTTTTTATTTGATCCATACCCAACGAGCACACATCGAATGGCACAAGGATCCAGCTTACTCCTTTGATGAGGGGGAACATGAGCATATACAACACAACCAAATATGCGAGGAGGCAACTTGAGGACGGTAAGAAGAGAGACGTGACGAGCCAAGGTGTCCAGTGGAGTCTGAAAATCCAAAACACTACTAGGCACCCGATTAATTACATAGACTGCAGAGATAAGAGCATGTCCCCATAAGCATGTATGCATGAGCAACCTCAAGTAATTGTCGATTCTTTTGTTCGGCAACACCATTTTGTTGCGGAGTAAAAGAGGTGGAGGTTTGATGAATGATGTCGTGGTTCCGGAAGAATTGAGCTAAGACATTGTTCACATATTCCCCACCATTATCGGATCGAAATACTTTGATGGAGGTCTGGAACTGTGTGGTAATCATAGCATGAAATTCACGGATTGTAGCAGAAACATCACTTTTATGAGCTAGCAAGTATACCCAAGTCATGCGACTGCAGTCATCAATAAATGTAACAAACCATCTCTTGCTATGGGAAAAAACTTTAGCAGGACCCCAAACATCAAAGTGAACCAAATTAAATGGAAATTCCGTTTTATTATCACTTAAGGGAAAAACGGTTCTATGGCTTTTGGCCAATACACAGGTTTCACACCGAAATTGAGGATTATCTAAACCACGGAACAAAGACAGAAACGAACGTTTAAGATAGCCAAAGGATGGAAGTCCTAGGCGACGATGCCAGAGCCAAATCTAGTGTTGATTGCGAGCTTGTGAGCTGAGACCATGAGTATGAGCTGCCCTTGGTGGTGAAGAGACCGTCAAGGAATACAACCCTCATCTCCATTTACCATGCCTAATCGTCACGTGAGTTGTGAGATCCTGAAAAGTACAGGCTGAGAATGTCATTGCTTGGGTTAAAATATAGCACACGTCTCAAATTCATTCCACTTAACGAAAGAGAATGCAAGTTTGTAGTTAATACAAGCATCTAAAAACCAACGCTCAGCAGAATTAAAGGTTCAGAAAGATGTGGTGTACCAAGGAACCCCTAAACCCTAAACCAATTTCGAAGAAACCCCTAAACCAATTTCAAAGAAACCCATAAACCCTAAACCCTAGAGAAACCCCTAAACCAATTTCATAGAAACCCATAAACCCTAAACCAATTTCAGAGCAACCCTTAAACCCTAAAACCCTAAACCAATTTCATACAAATCCATACATCCTAAACCAAATTCACAAAAACCCCAAATTTCTAAGAAAAGGACGATGAACAGTACCTTGTGGATGTGAACCCTGGAGTTAAGCTTGGATGAACAGACACCGATGAGGGAGGAAGACCACTGCGTCGGAGAGAGAGAGCTGCGCAAGAGAGCTGAGCGACAGAGAGAGACGGAGCCAAGAGAGTTGAGAGAGAACACAATTTCTAAAAAAGTGATATGGGTGCAATCAGTCGAAAAGAAAGATGTATTTATAGGTGATAGTTTTAAATTTTTAAGGGAGGGGTGGTATTTTCAGAAAAAATTATAAAATGGGTGGCATTTTGAGCTATTTCCCTATTAAATATAATATACTTAAAAAGTATAGCCGCACGGCTATATTAAGGTTTTTTTATTAGGGTAATCTGCTGAATTGCCCCCTGAACTTGTACATAATTCTCAATTTACACCTTGACCTTTTTTTTAGTGAATTAAGGGCTCGAATTAAATTTTATTATCAATGTTCCCCCCACCGTCAAAATTCAAACATTTCATCCATTAATCCGTCCATTTGACTTATGTTGACTCTCTTTTGAGGGTTATTTTTGTCATTAAAAATAATAAGTATATGGAAAATGGGCTAGTTAATTGTTTTTAAAATTTTCTTTGCTTGAGGTCAATGGGCCGATTAGATCCAATGACCAGCAATGTTAAACCCAACCCCACCTTCAATTCTTCCAGTGTCAACCACATCCACAACCACCGCAATCTCCGACGGCTCCACCTAACCTCAAAAACCCAATACGAAGTGAAAAAGCACAAAAAATCGAAAGGGCACAAGTTGCTACCCGGGACCATGCCTGATAAGTCCATAAATATACTCATTTATGTACTCTCTTTACTTAGGCTTTGTAGAAGAATTAGACTTAAAAAGGGCTTATTACTTCACTTTTCTGATTTTCAGCTTTTCTGCGCTCTT